GGAAGCAGTTATTATGCTAAGGGAAATGTTGGGATTTTCCTTTTCTAAGAAGGGAAAGTTTTTATGGGTAAACTGCCCTGTTGCCGTCTGATGGGGAAATTCTATCAAGTGAGGATTGAGTTGCCTCTAGCTAACGATTTATTCGCTATGGTGGGCGACCTCTATAAAAATGCATCCTCTAATAAATCATGGCAAATCAAAAGGAGAAATTGTTTCTCAAAAAAGCATGACAATTTTTGAATTTTTTGTTGTTGTCATCACATAGCCAGATTTAACAAAAAAAAACGTTTCATAAATAGATGATTGCCATGGTATCTTCAAATATTTTGCCATGGAATATCCAAAGAAGTTTCTGATGGTATGCTCAATAATAATTGCCATGCTATCCAATTTTGTTTACCATGGTTTGTTGAATAAAATTGCCATGGTGTAAACAATAAATTTGCCATAGTCCAAAATCTTTATCTAACAATAAAGCACTGACCGTTTTTGCCGCCTAATCGTCGCGGCATTTTTGCAAAAAAAAAAAGTCCTTGTACTTTTTAATATTCAATCCGCAGTCCTCGCCGGCGCGCCGTAAAATCATGGGGAAAATATATGCCAAACGGAATATTTAAACCCCTAACCTCTTATGGCTGACTTACCTGAGTCAACCAGCTGAGAAATCACATGTTCATTAGTAGAAATAATTCCTTTCTAAATAGTACTAAAGGTTACTTGCATGGCCTTTTTTTAATCAAATCGCTGGGCCTATTTGACCATCAAATAACTGTTGCTAGGCCTTTTCTGGGCCCCAAGCCACATAAGAAAAATGTAATCTCTAATCCAATAGGCTGCAAAGCATCGACATTTCATGTGAAATAATCTCATCTCACTTCTTTAAGACGATTCCCACCAGTTTATATAGATTAGCAAAGTTCGTTGTAATATCAACAAGACACCTACAAAAAAGAAAGATGACAACAGACCAGAGGGTGATCAAAACGTTGAAAGGAAGGATGGATTCTGGATGTGTTGCACCATGCAAAGAGGGACATGTGTGCTGACATATGGGCTAAAAGAATTAACTTGACTAGGAAGGATTCTGTGTGTGTGCTGAAAGGAACATGCAAGGAAGGAAGTAAGAACATGAATTCTAGGGCTGCAAAGAGGGATGGACCGCAAGGAAGGAAGCAACGACGTGTGTTCTAAAAAAACTACGAAAGATTGTGTGTGGGGGTGGAAGGAACATGCAAGGAAGGAAGTAGGGGAACATGAACTAGGGCTGCAGAGAGGGGCCTCACTTGAGTAGGAAGGATTGGCATACGTGCCGCAAATGTCGTCGGCGTTTGACCTGATGCGATCCATGGCGCCGCTGATGTCGCCGACGTTTGACCCGCTCGACGCTCTTTGGCCGGACCGTCTTCCACAACCCGAACCCGCGGGTCCTAGGGGCTGGCTCCTTGATTATTTTCAGTGACACGCACATCTTACTCAATAGACCATCATCTCCACTCATTTTCTTCCCAACCATCGTTATTATCGTTGGTACAAATCTCACATGCCTGTTTGTTTGACCCATAGCCGGTTTCACACAGATCAGGTTGTGCCCCATCCTACATAACTTGGATGTTTGCTATAACAATTTGCCATGGAAAATCTAACCATCAGAGTGACTGCTCAGCGGCTATGGTCTGGCCTGCTAGCTCCGATCATCATGGTGACAATCGCCCGTCAAGAAAAACATGGTGACAACTACGAGGTGAGTTATTTTCTTGGTAACGTTCAGACCTTCATAAATACGGGGTGCATTAGTTGGTGCACATATCATGCTAACTATTGCATTGGCATGACTATAGAAAATTACATGTAGCCATGTATCACCACGTACGGCGAGTGCAAAGGCACTGGTTCTCGGCTTACAACTGTTGGAAATATGGCCTAGAGGCAATAATAAAATGGTTATTAACATATTTCCCGTTTATGATAAATGTTTATTATTCATTCTAGAATTGTATTGACCGGGAACTTAAATACATGTGTGAATACATAAACTACACCGTGTCCCTAGTAAGCTTCTACTAGACTGACTCGTTGATTAAAGATGGTTATGGTTTCCTAACCATGAACATGAGTTGTCATTTGATAACGGGATCACATCATTAGGAGAATGATGTGATGGATAGGCCCAACAATAAGCTTAGCATCATATCATTTAGTTATTTGGTACAACTTTCTTCATGTCAAGTATTAGTTCCTTAGACCATGTGAAAGTGCTAGTTATTGACTAGAGGGGGGTGAATAGGCGATTTTTATGAAAGTCTTAAAACATGAGGACTTTGAAGACAAACCGTTAATATGAGCCTATATGATATGCAGCGGAAGATGAACTACTCTAGATAAGCCATAGTCAAGTAAGCATTATAGTGAAAGCACGAAGACTAATGGCAGCTAGGTAGTATGGATCGGAATGGAAGACAGTATGAAGCCAAACAGATAATAGTCTTAGCACAGTGAAGTCAAACAGATCAGATAAGCAAGCAATGACTTCATGAAGACAAACTGAAATGTAAAGATGGTAGGGGATAGAACCAGCAGCTTGGTGAAGACAAGGATTTGGTAGACCAGTTCCAGTTGTTGTGACAACTGTACGTCTGGTTAGGGAGGCTGGGATTGAACTCAGAAGATTGTGTCTTCACCTTATTCCCCTTGAGATAAGGGCACCTAGTCCTCGCCCAATCACTCTGGTAAGTCTTCAAGGTAGGCTTCCAAACCTTCACGAACTCCGTTCACTGGCGATCCACAATGACTCTTGGAACCTCAGAACGTGACGCCTAATCGGCTGGAGGATGCATAGTCCTCAAGTGTAACAAGTCTTCAGGTCACACGGATAGAAATACTTCAGTGATGCCTAACACTCTTTGGCTCTGTGTGTTTTGGGCTTTGTCCTCGCAAGGATCTCTCTCTCAAAGGCTTTGGAGGTGGGTTGCTCTCAAACGACAAAAGCCATGCACTAACTCTGAGCAGCCACCAATTTATGGTGTAGGGGGTGGGCTATTTATGAAGGAAATGTGCCCTAGAGGCAATAATAAAGTTGTTATTTTATATTTCCTTATATCATGATAAATGTTTATTATTCATACTAGAATTGTATTAACCGGAAACTTGATACATGTGTGGATACATAGACAAAACACCGTGCCCCTAGTAAGCCTCTACTACACTAGCTCGTTGATCAAAGGTGGTTAAAGTTTCCTAACCATGGACATGAGTTGTCATTTGATAACGGGATCACATCATTAGGGGAATGATGTGATGGACAAGTGAAAGTGCTAGTTATCGACTAGAGGGGGGTGAATAGGTGATTTTTATGAAAGTCTACAAAACACGAGGTCTTTGAAGACAAACAGTAGAAATGAACCTATTGATATGCAGCGGAAGATAGACTACACTAGACAAGCCATAGTCAAGTAAGCAATGTAGTGAAAGCGCGAAGACTATCAGCACCTAGGTAGTATGGATCAGGATAGAAGACAGTATGAAGCCAAACAGTGAATAGTCTTCACTCAGTGAAGTCAAACAGATCAGACAAGCAAGCAATGACTTCACGAAGACAA